AACATTTAATAAGGGCTTAGAATTTAGTAGTTCAGTTGTTAAAATTCTGATAACAATCCTGGCCTGTTTAGCTAAGTAGTTAGAGTGTCGGCCCTCACACCTAAGAGTTGTGGGTTCGATCCCCACCCCTAAGGCTCCTGCGGGAGGCAGCTAATCCATGTGTCTCTCTCACAACAATGTTTCTCTCTCTCTTTCTCCCCCATCCTCCCTCATTTCCACTCTCTCTGAAAGGCAATGGAAAAAATATCCTCAGGTGAGGATTAACAAAACAAAACAAAATTCTGACAACAGTTCTTTTTCTAGATTAAAAAATAAAAGTGAACTCCAGTAAATTTAGCTGATAGAGCAAGGATACAATCCCAGGGTCACTCATCTCCAAAGTATACACCTATCCAATGTGACAGCACCATCTCTTCCCATATGCACAAACCTAGACTATGGGTCCAAGAGCTGGGGACCACTGCCAAGCCAGGAATGACACAGACCCTTCGTTGTACCATGGGAAGGGCTAAGTGGGAGCCTGGCAGACTGTGCTTTGTTTTGATTTGTTTTGTTTTGTTGCACACCCTGATGTTTGTATAGCCAAGGAGACACTAGATCTCATTCACCACCTGTCCCATTCTCTCCTGGATTTGAGCAGTACCCAAGAGTCATGAGTACAGCTCTCCTCATAGAAAGACAGACAGTCTCTTCCCCTGGACTTGAGAGGATCTGACTTTTCACTTATTATGGAAAGTGATGGCCTTAAAGCTAAAAAGAGAGGACTGGATAATTCACTGTACAGGGAAGTTCAATTTTTCTTGCTCTGCTTTTGACATGTAATAGGGAAACTGAACAAGGGAGGCTTCTCAGATGTGGTCAGCTTTAAAGGAATGGATTCCCTGATCCTAGTATCAGAGCTGTCAGGTAACATTTCACACAGTGCAGGATCTTATATCTGAATTACAAAATCAGGCAGCTTTCTCTGTGATCTCTAACCCCTGTCATGCTGTGGCTGATCTCTTTCATACCTCCACGTACTCTCCTCCCCTTCACCTCCCTCAGCGTGCCTGCAGCTGCTTTCTCTCTGCTGCACCATCAGAAGGCCTGCCTCCCTGCCACTCCTCTTTCCCAGGACCCACTCCCTAGAGGTGGCACTCATGTGGCACAACTCCTAAGTTCAACAGAAGTCCAAGGGGTTTCATGCTGACTGTGACCCCCTGGATTCTCAAAAAAACTATATACAGCCCTTGGATTTGCATCTGGTCAATGATGCCCAGACATATCTTGGGATTCTTTGATTAAACCTTGACCAGGGGCCAGAGTACAAAAGAAGACTGCCCCAACAAATGCAGCAAACACACAAACACACCAGCCAGATTCTATTACATAGATACATAAAAAGACCTAGATTTTGCCCTAGCTGGTTTGGCTCAATGGATAGAGCATCAGCCTGGGGACTGAAGGGTTCCTGGTTCAATTCCAGTCAAGGGCACATGCCTGGGTTGTGGGCTTGATCCCCAGTGGGGGTTGTGCAGGAGGCAGTCAATCAATGATTCTCTCTCATCATTGGTGTTTCTATCTCTCTCTCCCTCTCCCTTCCTCTCTGAAATCAATAAAAAATATATTTATTAAAAGAAAAAGCTTTAAAAAATGTAATAGGTTTTGTCTATATGCTCCCACACTCACCCTCAATCTCTGCAGGACTCATCCCAAGTGTTCAGCATCTACAAGGAATGGGCCAGATTATGGAGTTATGAGTTAGAACACACTACAAAGTACTCCATTTCTTCCCATATTTCTTCACTAAGAAAGAAGGTGTAGAGAGGGAGCTGGGCTTTATCTTTGAAGAGGCTCTTTACTTTCCACTCTCTGCTCTATAAGAGGGACTTTGCATAGATTCAAGGCCATACATTTTGCTTGGGGCCCTCAACATTGGCAGGTTCTCTGTGCCTAGTCTCCTTATTTTTAACATCATTATAACAGACTTCTCCAAGAGGTACAGGTCCTCATGGGAAGGCAATTTTAAGTTCACCTTCCCTTCAGACTCAGACAGCAACAGCGTGGTTACTGGTAGAGGTTAACATGGCAAGAAATTCAAAAGCTTTTTCCAAGTTGCGGGGTGGGGGGGGGGTGTTATCAAGGTGTTTCCATAGTTCCTTTCATTCTAGAAGCCTGTTCGTCTAATGCATGGAGCAAGTTACCCATATTTCCACTGGGGCTCAGATTCCAGTCTAACAAGTGATCTCAGATATGTTAGGAATTAAATGGTTTCCTTCCCACATCAGTGTTTAGGAACTGGGTGGTGAAGCATCATCAAATTATGGAAAGTTCTAAATTCATAATAATCCCCACAGTTAATTAAGTTAGCTCTTGGTGTCTGGAGATGGATGCATTATCTTCCTTTGCTAAAAACCACTTCAGAGAGGCCAGGAAATCATGGAAATGTGAACTAATGCTTTGCCATAGTTTATTCACTTATTTCCATGAAAATTAAGGGCCAATGGGCAAAATGAGCTAATGGATCTTTTGTACCTACAAGGAATTGGGTCAGGCTCCACCTATAGGCATTTATTATTAATTCATCGATAGTTCTAATCCAAAGGATTGAGAATTAGAGGACAGATATCTCCCAGCATTTCTAGAGAATTTATGAACTAACAATAGTGACTGAGCTCTTAAACTGTTCCTAGCTTGGAGGATGTTGTGGATAGAGTGCAGTGAATGGATGTACTTCCCATCCATTCCTATTTTTCTTATATCTGGAAAAGGTGAATGGCTTCCCAGATGTAAAACAACAATTAAAGATAATAACAACAAAATCAACCACAACAAGAAAGAGCATTTTTATTTCTGATCTTAACTGAAGATAAATGCAGCATATTTCCAGTGTGTGGCACAATGTGATGGTCATTCTCGAAGCAAGGACTGGAGTACAGCAGTGAAGAAAACAGACAAAATTTGTGTCCTCCTGGAGCTTACATTCTAGTTCTTGGGGATCTTCAATCCTTTCTAGAGTCCCCTGCCAGCCATTCCAACATGGGCCTTTCTTTCCAAAAATCCACTCCCTAAATCACTCTGAAAATAGAAAAAGTTTTCCTGATGAGAATTCTCCCACCTTATCCCACTCCCTTACTCCCAGACATTTATAGGATCCAAACCAACAGAGAGCAGCCCATCAGTGGCTCAGCCCTGAGACAAGGTGAAGGTCTATCCCACAGGAGTGACTGGCAGGTCCTTTCTCTTCCTGAGATGTGGAATAGGGTAAGGAGAGGTTGCTGCTATTGGGACGGGGAGGTCTCTGAGTAAGAAAAGCGAAAGTGAGGTGTGATGGGCGGAGTACACCTTCCTTCTCAGTGACCATTACTCATTTTGTCTGCAGGAGGGGAGAGGCTGAGGGATATAACGGCGAACCCCAGGTTGCCCACCAGCGAGAGTAACAACCCCATCTACTCTCTCCCCAGACCTGCATCCTTCGCTACTGTAGTCTGAGAGTTCACACCAGATGGCCCAGAGAAGTGACCAGAGGGGGAAATGCACTTGCTGTACATTCAACCCAAGAAAAGACTAGTGCCAAACAATGGAGTGTGCAGGAGCTGAAAGAAAACGTTGAGTCCATTCAATTGGCCTCTTCTCATGGGTGATGAAAGGTCAACAAGCAGCAGCCCCAAGGCCATGTAGTCATGTGAGTGGCAGTGTGGCCTAGTGTTGTGCATAATTTTCTCTCCTCCCTATCAACAGGCCAAAGCTCATGGAACTTCCCAGAATAGCTGAGGACCCTGGAGCAACTGAGTGGGGGATCTGGGAGGGAAGTGGGGATGGAGATAGGAGGGTGCTGCCCAGGGTGAAGGAAGCCATGTGGCTGGCAAGTCTGGGAGGAAGGTTGCTGTAAACACAGAGGGAGGTGGGGGCAGGGATGTGATGCTAGCTGGATGACTTCATGCCTGCAGGACAACTCACCTGTGTGGTCTCCAAAATGGAACTCGTGATGGGCAGAAAACCTTGGTCCTGTAGTCTCTCAGAGGCCTCCTTAGATTAGCCAACTTGGGTCCATACATCAACTGTGGGCTTATCTCCTCCATAAAATGGGCCTTTGTCCTGTCCTTGTGTCCTGTCCACCTCCAGAGTTCAAAGGAGGATGACATTCATCATGTACGCCGATTATCCCTAGCCAAACCCATGCCTGTTTACCTCGCTGTTTTCTTGTCCCAGCTTACTCCCCTCTCCAGGTCCAAGGGACAATGAACTCCCAGGGCCAGAGAGGAGCAGATCCTCTTTAGGGTAGCACGTCCCCTGGAAAGGAGCCATCCCTCACCAGCTCCCCATTCGAACACACAATGTGAGTTTAATATCCAAAATGTGTCATTTCTCCCAAACACAAAAATAACAGAGCCTTCGATGGGCCTCTCATTTTGCCCACCCCATGCTGAATGCCTTTAAAACTGCCTTAATGTAGATAAGAGAGGATTGTGTACATCACACAAATGGTGGAAGGTAATAAAACAAACATCAAAGGTGAGCTCCCACGTACTCGCAGTTCTTTCTCTATTTGCAACAAAGACAGGAAAAAGGAGGAAACCTCAGTGTGGAAGGGCAGCGGGTTAGAAATGTACCTTTCTGGGGGTCAGTGAGCCCCTCCCTGTAGTATTGACACCTCAAAGTGTCAGGTGCCAAACTTCCTGGGGCCAAGAAAGTACCCCCTTTCCCAATTCTCCTATACCGTGCCACTGAAACCACAGCAAGACTCTCCAAGGAGAAGGCTTGGAAAGAAATGGCCATCAGCACGTCATACCTTGGGTCCCCGACCTAGGAACAGGCCCTCCCAATCGTTCCTGTTGTCTGTAGGAACCCAGGAATACAGAGGCTGGAATCTAGAGGGGCATGCGCGCAGGCAGAGCCTGGACATTCTAGACACAGTTGCTTTTCCCCAAGGGCCACCAGCCAGGTGCAGAAACAGGTGAAGGCAAAGAAAAGTGAAAGTCGGAGACCATTTAGCAAACAAAAGTTCATCCGAAAAGGCTTATACAATTTCAAGTCCAGTATTTTATTCATTAAAAAAGGAAAAAAGACAAAAATGGTCCTCAAAATGAAATCACAGGACGGGGCACAGCGTGTCGCTCCCGTTAGAGGTCACTGCAAAGCGCGCCCAGTGAGGTCTCAAAGTTCAGCACCTCCTCAGGGGCATGAGGCGTTTACTTTAGAAAGAAGCACTGTTTTCACTACAAGAGAAGCAAACATATACCACGTACACCTTTAGGAAGGCCACAAGCCTGAGCCAAGTCCCTGCTGACTCGGCCCAGCCCTTCTAGGTCCCTCCCCCGTCCCGACCCCTGTGACCTCTCGCCCAAATCGCTCCCTTGGGCTCCGGGGCACAGAGACCCCTCCAGGCGGCGGGGCGCTCCCACCTGAACCTAGCACTGGCCGCGGGGCCCGCACACACGGACACCCGCACAGTCACAGACACTCGCACACTCCCAGCCCCGCGCACGCTCCCATTGGCTGGAAGCAGAGGGCGGGGCTGGCCAGACCCAAAACAACAACCTGCGCGCAGGGACTTTTACTCTGCGCCGCCTCGTAGCCTCAACCTGGTGCGGCCCGCCCGGGAGCCACAGCCACCTAAGCCACCCCATTCCCCCACCCCCTGTCGTCCGTGCCCAGGCCCCGCCTCCGCAGGGTTATATTGGGCCCAGCGGAAGGTGGAGGCCAGACGTAGGGGCTGCGGGCCAGCGTGGAGATGCTTCTCTGGAGGCCGAGGGCGGAAAGGCGGCTGCGGGAGCCACAGCCTCAGGGACTCGTCTCCGTGGGCGCTCAGGGCTGAAGACACCAGACCCTCCCCAAGGGTGGCACGCATTTCCGTGCCCCGTGGACGCCTGCCTGGGACCTGCGACGTCCAGTGAAGAAACCCTCCGGGTCAGAGAGCAGATGCCTACGCTTCTTCCCTCCAGCAGGAAATCCCAAGGCCCTTATGGCTGGGCAGCAGACGTTAAAGCCGCACCCTTGCACACATTCACCCTGAAGTCTCTTATCCTCGAACTGAAGACAGCGCCTACCCAACTCCTCCCTCTTCGCCCCTCTTAGTTCACCCAATAAGCACAACCCCTCCAACGAAACATTCCGGTGGAACTGGACTCTTCTACGGAAAAGTGACTGTCTCTCACAAGAGGAGGGAGAGCTCTCTGGGAGAGAAAGGCGAGGACTCCTGGACTTGAGGTCGCCACCCCGCCCCCCGCACCAGCTTCCCAAGACCGCGCAAAGGAAAAGAGCACGGCACCGAGCCAGGACAGGGTGCGTGGGCATGGAGTCGGAGGTGTTCAGCCCCCGTGCGGCCCACGAGATCAAGCCGGGTAGTGACCTAGAGGGCACAGGAGGTAGCGACGCGCCCTCTCCGCTGTCCGCAGCCGGCGACGACTCCCTGGGGTCGGACGGGGACTGTGCCGCCAACAGCCCAGCAGCGGTAAGCGGCGGTAAGCGGAATGCGAGAGGTGCGCCTGCCGCCGAGGAGGAGGGCCCGGTTGCGGCGGGGGTCGTAGAGGAGGGCGCCTCAGGGCCCGGGGCCGAGAGCGCAGGGGTCGGTGAGGGCGGGCGAAGCAAGCCGTACACGCGGCGGCCCAAGCCCCCGTACTCGTATATCGCGCTCATAGCCATGGCCATCCGCGACTCGGCGGGCGGGCGCCTGACCCTGGCTGAGATCAACGAGTACCTCATGGGCAAGTTCCCCTTCTTCCGCGGCAGCTACACGGGCTGGCGCAACTCCGTGCGCCACAACCTTTCGCTCAACGACTGCTTCGTCAAGGTGCTGCGCGACCCCTCGCGGCCTTGGGGCAAGGATAACTACTGGATGCTCAACCCCAACAGTGAGTACACCTTCGCCGATGGTGTCTTCCGTCGCCGCCGCAAGCGCCTCA